AACTATCTGATTTTTTCATTGACAAGCAGTGTCTTTTTGCAGCTGCTCCAGTTAGTTACAGATTTACTTGAGCAAACAGGTATCAAAAGTAGCTGAAAAAAGGTAAAGCAGTAGTGGAAGGGAACCTGCACCCACCTGCATGAAGTTAGCTGAGTTTTCTTCGTAGAAGAAGATTCTTTACCCCTTGTACCTTGGAGTGAAAGCATTCACTTACTCCTTTTGAGTGAGCGAATGCTGTTTATATTCATGCTTACACTTCAGCTCAGAGACACGGGTTTTTAATATTCACAAAGTATAATTAATGCTATTGAATGGATATATAAAATCTCAGCACAACTGGTATAATTTCACAAACAGAAGAAACTGAGAATACAAAGGAGAGCGTCACCTAACTACATTAGAAATCTAACCGAAATAACAGGGGCCTTGAAAGCTCAGAGTATTCAAGAATGGCCTTTTCAGATTCTAGTAATACCTACATTTTATTTGTAGAGTTAATCTGTGAGATTTTAATACAAGATAGCTTTTTCTCCAGTTGGACTGTATTTTTAAGCTAAGTTGATTATACACATAAAGAGACTCATAGTGTACTGAATTGTCTGTATGCACTTTAACCTCTAGGAACTTTGACCAAAACTGAGTAGAAGATGATTTAAGATATGCTGAAACATCTTTATTCTTTTCAAAGCACTTAAGGTTACAGCGTCTAAAGTTACCAAGGGAAATGGAGTTTGGTGACATGAGTAAGCTTAGATGGCTACTACATGGTCTTTATCCATCAGTGCTTGAATTGAGCAATAAAGTTCATTTAGGATGGGAAATTTGTATTAAACCTTCAAATAGCTAAACCACAAAATATAAGTGTGCAGATGTGATTTAAAGACTAAGGGATTTAGATCACTGTATATGATTTATAGGCAATTTCCATGTTGTTTCTTTGATAAGCCAGTGTAATCTTATGTCATAAATACTTCTGTTGCTCATCCTTTTTATTGTCTGAAGCAATGGGGGCAACTATGATGAAACATTGCAAGGCTTTCTGTTATATACAGTCTTATCATACTGTCTCATCCATGAGCATGCGGTTCATGCAACCCTTACACAAAAGGAACTCCATACAGAGGTTATTGAGACAACAGAAGTTATTTTTGAGTATTTGGTACTGAGAAGTAAAATATAAAAATGTTATTATGTTAATATCACATTAATTTAAATAATGTAAATATATAGGCGCAATTTTTTTTGCTATACAGTAAGCATGTACAAAAGAAAATAAAGTACTTTGAGAAATAAAATTTCCTGGAATTTTCTTCTCTATCCTGTATCCTGTTACTAAGGAATGATTTGTCAGAAGTTCAACTGCTCCAGATGCTTACTTGGCTTCCCAGTACACCAAAGGAAAGTGAGCTGAAACAACAGAATTTTAGTTGCTTTGAGATCTTTCTTTTCAGGGCCCATTTCTGAGTGCTGTTGACCACCCTCAGTCCCTTTGGAAGTTTAAATCAGAATTAAGGCAGCTAAGGGTACTGAAATATTTCTGGTAGCTTTTCTCTGCCTGCTGATGTCTCAAGGTCCTATGCAGACACCAGCAACAATGGAAAGCCCCTGCAGCAGCTTCTGCCCATCACAGAACAGACAGTGGCAGCTCACAAACTGTTTCATTCCCATTTTCCTGACTCTTCAGTGTGATGACATGTTTGTGGTATTCACATGCACCATTTACACATGCAAGAAAAAACCCCAATAAATAAAGTGTAACATCCAACCTACATCTGACCTACTGATAGTTTCCAGTCACACTTGGCTCAGTTCTGTTCTTACAGAAATATGAGAAGGATTTTTTGTAATATGAGGTCAGACTCTGTCCAGAGAATTTCAGAGTTGTAGATGGCAAACAATAATCATATCTTTTTACTCTTCTTTATCCTGTCCCCCTCTTACCTCTGCTCCCACCTTCTCATTTACTGAGGCTGCCGCAACTAATATCAAGATTTTGGGCATGCAAAGAGCTGACTCCCCATTCAATCTGACAGAGGTGGGGACCATGGCCAGAGGAATGGCAAGGATATCAACAGCCAGATGATATTTCTGGCCTTCAGCATTTACAGGCAGGAATTATTTCTCCACGCTCTCATTTTTCATGTGGATTATTGTCTTCACTTGAAAATTAAGAGTTTAAGAGCTGCAGGTGCTCGCTGCAGACAGGAGAATGTTGCTCCTTTTTAGACAGGGTTTCAGTGGAGGAGTTAGGATCTTGGTTCAGTTCTTCCAAATCCCTAAGCAGTCTTTAGCCATTGAATCATCTTTCCATTCCATTCAACCTATATCATCTCCTTCATATTTTGCTGTTTCAAGCTCTGTAAACTGTAATTAGTAGGGCTTGAATATTACCAGACTGTGATAGTACCAGCATCATTCTTTGGGAATTGTAAATATCTGCACCAGAGTTTAAGCTCTCCTTAGCAAACTCTAGAGTATATATGAAGAAATCCAAGAAAGCTGAACACAGAGTTTTACCTCAAAAGGTCATATCAAAAACCTTCTCTGGTGTTACAGAACAGATGAACAGTTACAGCAGATAATTAGGCTGATTTGCCAAACATTTCAATAAAGAAACAAAATCATTAAAACATACTGATCAAAAAAGATATTTTGTCCCAATCATTAAAGGCTCCAGCCATCTTAAAAGGAAAAATTTTAATGGCTGATCTGTTGGACCAAGAGCCAGAACTCTGGACACCTTTGGGTTTTTAGACATTTGTCTGCCTTGCAATGTGTGTGATAATTAAACAAAGAGTCTTACCTCTAAGTTCAACATGTTTGTTTAATCGTTCTGTTCAGAGAGGATCAGTGAATTCTTACACAGCTCTAAAATGTTTACTTTCTACAGGAAAGTCTGCCTAGATGGTGTGACTGAAGATTATTCTACCTTAAAACATTAACCAACAAACTGTGAGCATCCTGAGCTGAAGGTGCCAATAGACAGATATGCTTTTTACAGTAAAAAAACCTTAAGTAGTGACTCTTACAAATATTTTTAAACTAACCCTTCACATTCCTTCAATTCATAGTCCATTATATCTGTGCAAACTGTGAAATGTTACCAGATCTTTATTTACTTTCTATAGATTGAAGTGAGGAATTAAGTTGTAAAGACACAATAAATTAAATCCCCTTTCTATATAAAGTTACAGCTTCTTCTTTAGACTTGTTCTAAGATCTTTAAATGCTGGAGCTACTGCAGTGCCCACTCACTTTTTCTACTAAATGCATAGACTTCCAATTTTGAATCTCTCTCCACTACTGAAAAGTGTTCCAATTATAGCAACGAAAAAAACCCAGAAAATAAGAAACTAGATTTGCAAAGAGGAGTTGGATTTGCAAAACCAGTATTTTGATCTCATTTTAATGTGACAAGTTTTGTAAGACTTGTTATTTATAAATAAAAATAACATATAAATTGTCATATAAATTTTAGACACAGCTGCAGTTTTTTATTCAGTCTGTGAGTAAATGTGGAACTTGGCAGATCCTAGAGATTCATGTCCAAGCAAGGACAAATTCCAAACTTCTTGTTATTGCTCAGATGTTCTTCATTATGGAAAAAATAACAAACACGGAAATGCAGTAGTGTAAGCAAAGTGGAGACTTTGGAAAGTCTGTGACGAAGATCTCCTGTCATATTGCACTTACCTTTATGAGTCAGTGTGAGATGGGTTGTTTCAAGATTTTCCTTCTGTTATTTGTTAGGATTCCTTACATAATGTGTAATTCACAAATTACATGTTGTTTTTAAGTCTTTGCCAAAATTAAAATTTTATAAGATATTAGAAAAAGCAAACCAACATTAAATCTTGAGCCATTTAGAGTTTTCTCCATTGTGATGGTGTTAACTGGAACATGTTTTGTTTATCAATTTTAGCACTGTTTGCATAACTGTCTTACTATCCTTTAATGAATAAAAATTTGGAATAAAAGTATTTTTCATGATAGGGAAGTCCATAATAAGATATCACCATTCAGCCTCCCCTACCTTTTCATTTTAACTTTCTTATCAAACAAAAATGGACACAATTGAATAAGAATTGAGATATATGGTGCATGTGTTGGTTAAGCAGCCAATGAGAGGAATATTTTCCTATAAGTAAATAGCATTCCAGTAACTTGATAATTTCTTATTGGTTTTTTTTTTTTTTTAATTGAAAACCTACATTGTTTACGTGGTTATGCTTAAGACATATTTGCATGTAAAGTCTGAGATGCAAGATATTACATTTTTAAAATATTGCTCTAATCAGTGGACAATCAGAATGAAAAAGATAAAAAAAATTTATAAACCACCACTCTCAGGCTACTTGGTCCCAGAAAGTAATCAGAAAAATAAGAAGCTTATTTGGGTACAAGCCTGAGAAAATCCAGCAGTCATCATGAATATTACTGAGAAGTAATATTCACAGAGATTAATGCCCTGGACACCTATAGGGGGGTGCAAAAAACAGTTCTTTTCAGAAAGAGTGTTAGTGGAGTTTGCCAAGGTTCTTGTTTCAGCAGCCATTCCCACCTTTCTGTGCTGCTTTCCCCCAGCTCCTTGGGGAAAAGGATGTCATGTCTAGCAGGTAAAGGAGCTCCCAACACAACAAAAGCCTAATTCTAATTTCTCCCTGTGTGCATTGGTACAGAGAAGGCAATTCAGAGCTGTTAATTAAGTTCTTATTTTTACAGACATTCAAACAATGGAACTTTTAATTGCCAAGGACAATTTGAGAGCTTTAATTAGCGGTCAAAAGATGACAAGAGCCACGACACTTGGCTTGTATTATTTCACAATGAGAATGAAATATCTTACATGTCTTGAAAATTACTTCAGCTGACGTTTGGGAAAGTTAAAAAAAAAAAAAAAAGTCCTGGGGCTTTCTTCCAAAATGTAACATCATACACATGGTGTATGGCCAGAAAAACACTCAGGACAGCCCTCAGTCACTCAGTTGTGCCTCAGGATGCATCCTTGAATTCTCTCAGTAACCTCTGTACTGCTGTTTATCAACTGTTTCCGAATTTGAAACTTTGCCTGGATTGCCAGGAAGGACAAAGAGTAGGTATGCCTTTTTAAATTTATTATCTTTATTGAAATAATTTCTATATTTTATCTTAAAAAATAATTATTTTTTTTTGCTCTCAGTTCTGATCTACGAAGTCTAGTAAGACTTTCCCTTTCTTTTTCACCACAAAAGTAATTCTGAAGGTCAGTATAAGTTTATGTGTAAAGCCATGATCCATTTTACCTAACTGCTCTAACTGGCAAATTAGTATTAATAGTAAAAGGGGTGATAGATGCAATGTGCATGGAAATTCATCAGAAATCAGTTCAAAGTAAGAAAAATATGTCATTATTTGTATAAAAGATGACTGGAATGTGTTAAGGACAGAAATTGAAAACCATTCATGCGGCTAATTTTCCATTAGCACTAACTACTTCAAAATACTTACAGGAATTACTGAAAATAAAATGCATTTTCTGTCAAAAGAACATTTGGAATTTTAAATTTATAAAAGGCTTGTGGCTTGTGTAGTGCTCAGACACTGATTAGTAGACTCTGAAGAAATTTTTGCAAAAAAACCCCTACAGAATCCGCAGGTACTATTGCTAGCTGAACAAGAATTCAGATTTAGCTGTGAACAAAATCTAAGTTGCAATGAAAAATAAAACTTCCAGGTGTTTTTAGCTGAGCCCATCATGAATGAATTTGTGGCTCCAGCTGAGAGATTGTGTCTGAAGTGTGCGGAGTGGCTGGCTTACGCTGGTAGCAAGAAGTGTCAGGAAAAGGGCAGGCAAGGACAAAAAGCATTTCTTTTTATTCTATATTTATTAAAAGAAATAATTCTGTTTAGGTTTAATTGTTGTCTTTCTTCTACATTATTTTTGAAATATAAAATTACAGATTTTCTGCCATTGTTCTCTCGTGCCCTAACCAGCCTCCTGCTATAAAAGCATTAGATTTCTGCTGTCTTATAAAAAGTCTCTCTGATGTTAATCAGCCATTCATTTGCTACATGTGTTTTACCTGTAGTTTCAGATCCTCTCAAGTATCTTTGTTTATGTGAGAGGTCTGTGAACTAGGTAAGATTCAGACTGTTGTGAGGGAAATCCAGGGAGCTGTGTTAACTTGAGTTGTAGCTCAATTCCCCACCATGGCTGCCAGCTTGAGTGAGTTTATGAACTCAGACACAACTTTGCTGCTCACCTAATTCTGCAGTGATGAAAAATGTTCTGTGCATTAGTACCAGATAGCCTGATGTGGAATATTAATACTTAACTTATTCCTAGAGGCATCCCAAAATTAGTACTGCGAGGTGCTCATATACAGAAATCACTGAGGCTGGACATGGATGTAAAAGAGATGAAAGATGGTCTAAACTGTCTCTTCAGAAATTCCATCATTAGGTGGAAAAATAGGTGCAAAATACAGAAGCTGAAAGGGCAGAGTTAAATAGCTACAGCAGAAAGTCAACATTTAGAATGATTGATTGCAAAATATTCATTTTTTTCAAATACATTATTTTCTGTGATTGACATGCTCTACTTGCATATGAAATACTGAAATGTTAGATGGCAGAACAGGCTCAACAATAACTTGCCTTCCATAACGTTCTGAGACCAAATGCCTGTAAAAACCAGGATCCAGGCACTATCATCAAGCATGGCAGCACCAGAAGAAAGAAGCAGGGGACAGCTCTAAGAGTGGATTTGTGACAAAAAGTCCAGTGGATTTTCATAGGAGGATAAGGTTTTACCCATGTCCTTAGTCCTGCACAATCTCACATGGAACTACCAGAAAAAAACAAAGATATTGCCAATGCTATGATGAGCTAAACACTTTGGAGCCTGGGACAGCCAAACTCAAAATTTTTGAGCTGGAGAAAAGGGCTGTATATTTAGAGCTGCAGAGGCCTTTCCTCCAGGCACGATTTTTAGTGTAATATTTTGGAGAAGTCTGTGTTTTATTATTCCAACCACTGACATTTGAAGGCAATAAGCTGTCTAATCTAACAGCAATTTTGAATCCAAAGTTCAGGGTGTCAGGAACTGAGAAGGAACAAAAGAATGCAAAGTTCAGTCAGCAAGTGGCACATACAGAGCGTGGGCAGCTTTCTCAATTCAGGGAAACAGGAATGATCCTGCTTCAGCAGGACAATAGAATATTATAATATATTAATGTATATATAATATAGTATATAATACAGTAACATAATAATGTACATATCATGGTAAATAAGAGTAAGAGAAAGGGCAGGGAAGGATGCAAACTGGCTTTGTGTCGCCAGCATGACTCCCACTACTCCCAGGGAGATGGAATTCTCCCATATCTGTGTCTGCCATCAGTCTCGAGGAGATGTACAGAACTATTTACACTAATTTGTCACTTTCCTTCCTCTGTGCCACTTCAAACAATGGAAGCATGGAGAGGAAACTTAATGGGATGTAGAGGAAGTTCTATCCTTGCTAATACTGGGAACATTTCCCACTGCTGCACATATCAAGAATGGATTGATCTAGCCTGTAATAATCAGTAAGGACTAATAAAGAATTTGCAGCAGTTAAATGTTCGTTACACCACTCATGGGAGGCAACTTTTGCTCTTTTATGCTTCTTTTTTTGCAGTAATTTTCTCTCATTTCGAAGACGTCTCCTGTTCACTTCAGAATTTTTTAAAAAATGACTGAAACTCCTCTACTGAATATTCCCACCTCAAACCAGAGTGAAAATCAGAGTAACTCAACTGTTTGCCCAGAACTGGATGACTGGTGGGACATCGTGTACTACATAGGACCCAAGTACATCAACACTGTCTGCGTTATTGGTATGCTTGGAAATGTGTTTGTTCTCTTCATTTATTCACTGCACAAGGGCCCCCTGAAGATAGCTGAAATCTACCTTATGAACCTTGCTGTTGCTGACCTGATCTTCCTCACATGCCTCCCTTTCTGGGCAGAGAACATCAATAATGAGTTTAACTGGCCCTTTGGCAGTTTCCTGTGCCGCAGCATCAGCGCCTCCATCACCCTGAACATGTACACCAGCATCTACCTGCTCGTGGCCGTCAGCGTGGACCGCTATTTGACTTTTGTCCACACCTTGAACCACAGAGAGATATGGAGCAAATCTATGACCAAAGGGATCTGCTTGCTCATCTGGTTCTTTTGCATCCTTCTCAGCGTCCCAGCTTTCATGTTCCGGACTGTGAAAGACTTTCCCCAGTGGAATATTTCAGCTTGCACTTTGGAGTTCCCCAGCCCATCGTGGGAAGTAGCTGAAAGCCTGGTAGGCAATGTGGTGGGGTTCCTGCTGCCGTCCACAGCAATCATCTTCCTCAATTTCTCCACCATTAGGTCCCTACAAAAAACAGCGAAAGAACGAAAAGCACTCAGAGCAAAGGGTTGCAAGAGGCACAGAGGCACAAAGGCAACCAGGCTGATCTTCACTGTGGTACTGATGTTTCTTTTCTGCTGGACTCCTCACCATTTTTTTGTATTCCTTGATATATTATACCATACAGAAGTGATAAAAGGCTGCTTCTGGGGGGAACTGATCAACTTTGGGGAGCAGTTTTCTTATATGCTGGCTATCACCAACAGCTGCATTAACCCCGTGATTTATGTCTTTGTTGGGAAATACTTCAGGCAAAAGGCTTTAGAAGTTTTTTCACAGTTTATTCCCTGTGGATTTCCTTCGAGATGGGTATCTTTCAAAGAAATGTCTTCAAATTTCAACATGTTTCCAGTCAAGAGTAGTTTAACATAATGATTCTCAGTTCCTCTTCATCTTGATATTATAACTTATTTTATGCTGCTGTAAATGACATTAAAACTTAACATGAAACACTCCGATCTGGCCTTCACAGACCAAGATAATTATCTATAAAAGTAAATCACTTGATTGATTGCTTACTTTTTCCTCAGGCTTGCTTTTCTAGTTCTGTGTTATCCATCCAAATGTATAACGTGTGATGCCAGAATTTTTTACCAAATTATCTAACCTGTCTTACCTATTAACAGTGGCTTAAAAACTTTTTGACAAAATACCAGAAATCTGGTTTCTTTGCAGAAAGCCATAAGCCAGCTGAATATTTTGCTGAATTGTATCTGTGATGACAGCTACTATACCACCTTTAACACTATTCATAAAATTACAACAGGTATTACAGAGCAAATATGAGCTTCATCTTTAGCTGATAAATGCATTTAAGCAGGTATGGGATAACTTTGGTCATTTTGAACAAAATTTTCACTGATTTGCATTTTTACAGTAAGATCTAGAGAATTTTTTTGTGCACTTTAATTACGTGCAGTTCATAACTATTGCACAAGAGGATGTAACACAAAGAAAGTGTACAGAAATTGTGAAAAAAGCAAGGTAACACAGTTGCCTCTTCAAAACTTGATTTTTGCTGATCCAGTAAAGTATTACAAAATTGCTCATAAAGTACTGTAAAGATCCTTTTTATTTTTTATATGTGAATATATCTATGATGGCCACTGATACAGTATTAATTAGAGGCAAATCCTTAGATACATATTTATGGTTTTATGAATCAAAATTAATAAACTATGTAACATCTTATTTTGCTTCATAGTCTTGTTCTTTCTTATATTTATTTTTTATATTTTGTCTCTTTCCCCTTAATCCTTTGGGAAAGAGCAAATATATAGTTCTGTCATTAAAAATCCTTGTTGCTACCAGAACACAAACTCTCATAGTTAAAAAAAAAAAACAAAACAACTTTTCCATCACAGCCAAAATGGCAGAGTAGATGTAAAGCAACTGAGATCAAATTATGTGTAAGTACAGACATGGAAAAAGATAGAAAAGATAGTGCAGCCTGTTCAGCCGGAGGATGTTGGTGCAGAAGGGAGCATCCAGACACACCATTTGTATAACAATTCATTTAACTCCTCACTGTAAAGCCTGTTCCGTTCAGCCTTTACAGTTATTCACTGTAACAGCACCACATTTTCTGTGGCTCTTTTTTGTGTTTCCATTTTGAATATGTAATTAATCTCTTATTTGCTTATAGAAATCTGCCTATTCAACTTCATTGCAATAAGATTAGTGTTAATTTTTAATGGTTCTTTCAAACTTTTTGAATCTGAACAGTGGAAGCCTTTTGAAGACTCAAAAGTCTATCTTCCTGCAATGATGGTTTAAGAATTAGGGGTGGATTAAGGGATCAGGGAGGAAGAATCTGTCATAGGTTTACTACTTCCACTGCTTCTATGACAGATGTTTTTAAAATAAATATCAGGCTTAAACACCAGTAATAACAACAGCATGTGAAGTCCCCTGACTCATCTGAAATCAAATTCCTAATTCCCGTCTATTGTAAACTTTTGAACACTGCATCTATTTAATACATCCCCAGCTGAATCTTTAATTCAAAAAACTTCCAAGCAGAGATATTTTCTTGGGAAAGGAAAGGGGAGGAAAGGAAGGGAAAAGGAAAAAAAAGGAAAAGGAAAAGGAAAGAAAGTCTGAAATAGTGAAAAAGGTGCAGAAAAAGAAGTTCCATTTTCTCACTACAGATAAGGACCTTTAAAGGGAAAAATATTTTGTCTCATCTGACTAACACTTGTTTGTGTTATTCAATGTACAAATAAATGGAAAAAACACTTCTTGAGTGCGGTGGCATATTTGGGTTATGACATAATAGATTGAAAATGAGTTTGAAATCTGAATTTAATGGAAAACCTCCTGTTTCCATCCATGAGCAAGTGACAAGGGCTTTCATGAAAGCACTGCTTCTTTTACATATGCTCAACTGTCAGGAAAAACATGTGTAGTTTAAATACTGCTTTAAACCACTTAACAGAGTCTTGCAAATCAATGGATTTACTGTCCAGCATAAATGTCTGTAAATGTATGCATTTCTGACTGTGTGTTAGGGTCTGGTGCTCGTTAGTGGCTACTTTTTGCTGCAGTGCTGTGCTGCACTCACCTCACTGAGCTGTGCCCAGGAAGGCTCTGGTGACAGCCACGGTGATGCTGCTGGGCTGGCAGGTGGCCAGGGCATTGCTGCTGTGCTGGACAGGCTGGAATCAGTGTGACCTTGAGCTGAAGGGATGTGGATGAGCCCGTGACGGAGCAGAGATTCACCTGCAGCCCTTGGGGAATCCGGGGCTGGAGCAGGTGGATGCCTGAAGGAGAATGTGGTGTGACCCTGCAAGAAGCCTCTGCTGGGGTAGGTTTTATGGCAGGACCTGTGAGCTCATGGGGCACCCGCACTGGAGCAGTTCATGAAAAACTGCAGCCCTTGAGAAGAACCCACAGTAGAGAAGTTCAAAGAGGACTGTCTCATGTGGGTGGGAACCTCTGCTGGAGCAGGGAAAGCAGAGATTCTCTTCCAGCCCATGGTGAAGCACTGTGCCCTGCAGCCCATGGAGGAGGACAATGTAGACTTGTCACTGTTGAGTAAGAAATTACACAAACTCACCAGAAAGCTGATTAGCATCACACACCATTTCTTTCGACTGCTCCTTTTTACAAGTGGTTCTGATCCAGGTGGACTTGATTGGTAATTTGGTTAATACATTTCACCTGACTGGCTAATTAACAAGACACCCTTCTTATAAACAATCTTTGAGAAAAACAAGAAAACAGAGAGTAGAAAAACAACACCTGCAGGTTGTTTATGATAATAAGCTATCATTGTTTACCTTCAACTCCCTAAAGCCTCTCAGGCCAATTCTGGGAAAACTTATCTAGTTTTCTCTCTCTCTCTGACCCAGCTGTCACATCCACGTAGACTACATAAGTGATGGATGGACTTCAGGGAGAACCCTTGTTGCAGCCAGGCTGGAGACAAGAGGAGGAGTTCAATGCAATGTTAAACCAGATAGCCTGGTCCAAAAAGGGGCCAAGGGTGGACATCGTAATGGATGTGCCTTTAAATTGCTGTAAGCCATGATTTGAGTTCATGTTACAGGAATTAGTACAGCAGAAATCCATATCATTGGAGGAGAGGCCTTACAAGAAGACCCTTAAGCGCATCAGTGGCCAGACCTGAGCTGGCTTTGGTGCCCAGTAACTCCAAGAAACACAACACCACACCACTCCTGAACTGAGTGACTGCCAGAACAGATGGAGCCTGAAGTCATGGACTAAATGAACTCAAAGGATCTTTTGTAAACATTTGTGGACATTTTATGAGTATTTTCTAGGGGTGGTCCATTGACTCAAGAAATTACTTCTGTGTATTATGTCAAAGGATGGGAAAAAGGGTCGTGGTTAATGAAGTTGTATCAAATAGTGTGGGACCTGGGCATGATGCAAATGGTATGGAATAAGTGATGGAATGTGCTGATTTGGGCTGGGGTATAATTAATTTTCTTCACAGCGGCTAGTATGGAGCTGTGTTTTGGATTGTGCTGAATACAGTGTTAATAATATAGAGATGTTTTTCTTATTGCTGAGCAAGGTTTACACAGAACCAAGTCCTTTTCTGCTTTCCACGCTGCCACACTGGAGAGAAGACTGGAAATTGGAAGGAGACACAGCCAGAATAGGTGACCCAAACTGACCAAAGGGATATTCCAGACCAGATGATATCATGATCAGTATATAAAATGGGAGGAAGAAGAAACCAAAAGAAGGAAGGAGGAGGGGATATTTGGAGTGATGCCATTTGTCTTTCCAAGTATCTGTCACAGGTGATGGGACCCTGCTGTCCTAAAAGTGGCTGAACACCTGCCTGCCCATGGGAAGTAGTGAATTTATTGTTTATTTTGCTTTGTTAATTTGTGTGGCTTTTGTTTTCCCTATTAAATTGTCTTTCTCTCAACACATCAGTTTTGCAGTTTTGACCCTTTTGATTCTTTCCCAGATCCCTCTGGTGGGGGGATGAGCAAGTGCATGGGGCTTGGCAGCTGGCTGGGGTTAAACCTCAACAAACCTGAGCCAGGAGTGCTGTGTTGTTTGTGCCTTGAAGGTGCATATGAAAATAGAGAATGAACTTGAATTGCAGCAAGGAAATCTCAGGATAAGCATTAATAAAAAAGCTCCTGGTGGAGCCAGTGACAGGCTGCCCAGGAGAGAACCCAGAACAGCAACAACAGGACCCTCGGAGCCCGATTTAGACAGCAATTTTTGGGGAAAATATCAACATAGCTGGTTCTGCCCCAGCACAAGGGAGTGTATACCCCTCCACTGATCCCTTCTCTTGTGGTCAATAAATAAAGTTTCCTTGTTTGCCCTTTCAGGTTCTTCACTGATCACCTCTCAATCAGTACTGAAATGTCAGCTCTGTAGGACTAATGTTGCCAGACTCCGCTGCCCATGGCTTGTACTTTTCAATAAGCATCATTTTTACCTTCTCTCATGTTACTTCTCACACTCCTCATAAACATTGTCAAGCATTAGTCGTTAAAAAGTTCCTCTGCTGCACCTTAAGAGCTTACAAGTATGATTTAACCTGTTCTCATCTGTCTATATAGAATATATATTTTACTATTAGTTTCTCTAGGACAAGGACTATCTTTGCACTGTCTGTTCAGGCCTTGCTTAATGCCCAGCCTGGTCTTAGTTGATCATACAGGGCTCCTAGCACTAGTGTAATAAAGTGACATTTAGGATTCACTGAAACACATCTCAAGGAATAATACAGCCTGGACTTACATTTGTAACATCAAAACATTTTGACAAGCCATTTCAATATTAAAATCTCTACCTGTAAATACAGATAGTTATATCAGAGAATCTTTGCCTTTAACAACAACAACAGCAAAGACACCACCAAACCCAGCTGACTGATTTCTAAAACCGAAAATTGAAGAAAGTACATTGATCCCTAAAAGTAAAGACTTGAGCATTTTCAGAGATCTATAGCCACATGGATTTCTAACCTGCCAGCAGTCATCTTCCTGGGAAGAGATCTGTTTGTCATCCCTGTCAAATCGTACCACATTGAGTAAATATGTTGACTCTTGGATAGAAAAAAAGCACTTTGCTCACAGGTCAGATGTACTGCAGCTTTCAGCAGTCAAATCCTCACAGAGATGCTTACACCTCTGCAGCTGCCTGTGACAGGGTGTCACAGCAGACTTGGTCACAGAGCAACAGGACCCACTTTACTGCCCATGGGTCAGGGGTGGAGGGTGTCACAAAATCTGTTCATTGTCCCAGTGAGCTCTTGGTGCACTGCCAGCAACAGGACAGGAACGAGTGACAAAAGCTGCACCAAGGTGGCAGGACAAAAATCATACTGGGGAAATGGGTGGAGTTTAATGGAGAGCAGAGAAATATCTGATTGGAGATTGGGAGTCAAGAAACAGAGGAAAAGGGTGAGGCAAGAGAAGAAATAACCCACCAGTGCCTCTGTCAGCATCTTCCCAATGCCAGAGTGTGGGGACGAGCAGGGAGGTCACAGTGACCAAAAGAAAACATTGAGGGAGCAGGAGACAGCCACTGGCTGGACCAAGGGACAACAATGTGGAAGGGAAATGACTTTGACAATGAACTGCAACAGAGTTGGGACCTGATGGTGAAGAGGTCAGAGCAAATTGTGAAAAGGGGAAGAAGAAATAGATATCTCAGGATGGGACTTGGAGTATTGCATTCCCTTATAAAACCCTGTCAGGACTGAAAACACTAAAAATCAAACATCCAAGGGCCAGGAAATATTTGACCTAAGACTGTCCCTGGAATTTCAGTTTGGTCTCCTTCAGGGTATGAGTTATTATATGGTCTTACAGTCTTATGACTAAGCTTTGAATTTCCAACATTGCAACTTATCCACTTCTGATAAACCTTGTGTCACCCTGCCTTGTGTAGGAGAGGAACACTTGCGTAAACCAAATAATACCCCAAAGAAATTAAATCATCCATCCTGCATATTAAATAAAATCAATGGTATTGATAACACACATGCTGCCTTGAATTTTACCCTGAGAAATCTTTGAGACAACATATAATTAAACTCAAAAATTAATTTCAGTAAGGTTTTCTAGAAGGAAATTAGTCTAATAATCATGTTTGATCACAACTGAAAATATTAGAAGACATTGTAAAATAAGAGAAGATAGGAAGAATATTGTGATCAGCAAAAATGCAGGAAGAAACATTTCCCTTTCCGTGTAGAACAGTAGGACTCCTGACAAAGAGTAGACACCCCTTTTGGTCACTGGAAAGGATTTGTCAAAACACCTTCATCACAGAACAACAGGCCAGGACTTTGGGTCTGTCAGGAGGACAGATGAAGAGAAAAACTGGGATTTCAAAAGAAATCCTCCTCTGGCAGCTCAAGGAACAGATGGAAATACACATCCTGGGACTGGACCATACAACAGCAGTTTGGCTTGGTTTGTTGTTTTTTTTTTCGTAAGGGAATTTGAAACTCTCATGCAAAACAAATCCCTCTGAATTACACAGTTTATTTAAGTATTTTAGCTGTTTTCCCCTTTGAGTTTTCAGTAGTTGCTGTTTATTGCCAAGACTTCTATTTCACGCATGACTCAGAGTAAATCCTGGGTATCTTTCGCAGCCTGCTGGGCTAGATAAGGAACCTGTCCCCTCTTTCCTCAGCTCCAAACCACAGGAAGCCCTTGCAACTGATATGTTTATCCCTGGTGGAGAATGGCCATGGACCCATTTGGTCACAATTGCCTGTCCTATCTGAAT